ATTAATGTGGGTCCAGTTTGTTCCTTATCCAACATGTAGCTGAGTCAGGTTGGCCCACTCCACTGCTTCAGTTTATTAGACTTTCAGTTCTGCTCGGCTCTCTAAACAACATGTGTCAGAAGGTTGATTTATGTTTCCATCTGTTGGAAATGTAGGTTCCCTCAGACGTCTTTCAGTGTGTCGGATTCCGGGTCAGAACCAGGTTCAGAGTGATTGGCGCTGCAGAGTCTCTGTTAACTGTCACAGAACCTCAGGACAAAGGTGAGACTCAGAGACTGCAGTGAATGCTGGGATACGTAGTCTTATTATTTTATCTGAATCGTTTGTTTTAAGAGCCTCATTGTAGTCATTATTGTTAAAGATTTGCTTTGTTTTTAGCTGAGGCTTTAGATCCTTTGGACTTATTAAACTGGGTTATTCTGACCTGTCACCCAACTCTAATAACCAGAACCAGAACCTGTCAGCATCCACTGCTTGGAGCTCAAACTCCCCAGATGCTCACTGTAAATGTGATTCTATATTATCAGAGGCTTGTTACCAATAGTTTTTATTTATTATTCCATTTATTAGCTGTTGGATAGTTGTGTGTGTGGGCCCCAGATGAATTCTGCTCAGTCTGGATGGCAACTGAATTTGATTTGACTCAATTCAACCCATCATAAAGCCCTATATGTAGGCTTAAACTGGGTTCCAGTTTTCTCCTCAAGTTGTCCTGCATCAAACCCAGTTAATTTTGAGCCATCATGTTGCCTGAGGGCGATCTCACCTGGGGCCCATTTCTTGGCCCATTTCCGGCTCATATGGGGCCCATATGCAAATTTCATGGAATATTTTTCTTGCATATGATCAGATTTCCAAGTTCTACAGACTTTTGCAGTAGTGACGATGATTTAATGCGGGTATAGTCAGTTAACCTGCAAAGTGTGACTGTTCTCCAGGCAGCCTGTGCACCAAACAGTTCTCTGATCAGCAGCAGCAGTTGCAGCGCCTCTGCCTGGGTGAACAGTGTCAGTGCATGACAGGTAACACCATGTTTCAGCTGTGATTGGCTGGTCCCAGCATCAGGTGACTTCATTTAGCTCCTTGTTGTGTATGAACTGTTCCTCTGCTTGTTCATGTGTTGTTGTGCAGCCGCATGTGCGTCCTACAGAGGAACTGTAGACTCCACCCTGACAGCAGACAAACGCACAGAGGAAACCTGCCAGCCCCACATCAAATATGGTGAGAAGAATGTTTGAACTCTGGAAGCCTTCTTACTGCTTATTGGTTACGTCTTGACTGCAACATTATCAGCAAGCGGAAATGAGTTGTCTTCACTTCCCTGTGTTACATTATTTTGTTCTGGATCCGGTATGCTGAACACAGGTAAAAAGCCTTTAAATAAATCGCTCCAACTGGTATTTTGCTGTTATGTTGCATTGTAATTAGAAATGTTCAGGATTTTTTACCTCACACATTCAATAAACATGCATTTGAACTTATATCATTCACTCCAAGCCATAAATGAAGTTCTGGTTCTGTGGCCTAGCTTTAGAAGTCACATTCTGGGTTCAGTCCCTTTGTGTTGGATCACTGTGTCACCAGATCCAACTCTGTACTGGTTAGGTTGAAACAGCACAGGAAACCGCAATGAAACGTTCCACACAGCTGAGCTTGACAGGCCACTCACTGCTGCTTGCAGCTTTAATTTTTCTCTTGGTATTTCTTCAGGAAGCTTAAAACTTGTTTTTTCTTCGTGTTGTGAGAGAGAAAGAGCAGCTTCATATCTGTGTTTGTGATTGAGAGGCTGGTGAAGGCTCAGAATCAGAGACTGAGAGCCCATCTCATGTTAGGATTATTTAAATCAAATGAGCAGATGCTGATGCTTGTTTCTTTGTGGCATCTGTACAGCAACACTTGTGTCTTGTGTTTTCTGCTGCAGCCTACAAGGTGACGGTGAAGTCTTCAGCAGCAGAGGGCGACTTTATGACCTACACAGCCACCATAGCTGAAGTTCTGAAGAAGAGTAAAGGTGAGACACTTAGTTTACTTTCCGACTTTTGGTGCATGTTCACTGCGCTGGCTGGCAGACACCAGGAGATCACTGCTAAATCAGCACCAGGACATAAATGAATATTGCATGTAGAAGGAATAGCTTTTCAAAAGTATCTTTATCCTACTGTTTTCTGGTAAAGTGCTGTGAGACGCCATGTTGTGAATTGGCGCTATATAAATGAACTGAATTCAATTTTGTAATAAATTAACTATTGAGTTTTCCTGGATCCATCTTTAAACCTGAGTAGGTGCTGAAAACATGTTTAGCAAGTAGACACAAGTTTCTTATCAGACATTTCATCACTTTATCGACTACCTGCAACTTTATCCACAGGAACCAATAAAAGCAGAAACATCAGACTTTCTAACTATTTTTGTTCAGTTTATGAATAGGAGGTCTTCTATTTTGAGGCGTAGGAAAAAGCTTTTTCATGATAATGATCTCAGGGTATCTAACCACCGATGATGTGCCTTGCTAGCTGGGATGGATTAACCATCAGAGGTCGCTGCTGCTTTAAAGCTCCTTAAGTTTGTCTGCAGAGTTATTTATATCTGAGTTCTAACCGTTGAAGCATTTCATGCCAAAGCTAGCTTTGAAGGTTACTACGACCCACAAATATGTAAAGCTTCACCTAAGCTACAGCTAGTTGCAGATATACCTATAGGGCCTAAGAATTACTGTTCATCTCATCGGAAAACATTAAAAACTGTCCGATTTGAAGAAGTGCTGAGGGTGCTTTTATCCTATTTAACCAATTAACAACACTTTATGTCCCCAAACAACTTTACAAGCTCCGACCCGGGGCCTGCTTCAGCATCCAGCCCATGCAGGTGGTCCAGGAGGTGTCTAAGAGCTCCAGCTTGGTAAAGAAAAATTTACTTACTGTGTTCCTGGTGTTGTTGTGTGGTCCAGAGTTCGAAGTGTTGGGTCCGGGGACTGAGTTGGACCTAGTAAAGAAGGCCACCTGCAATGGGGTGGACCTGCAGAACAGCAAGCAGTACCTGGTGATGGGATCCAGCGGGTCAGAGGTCACACATAGCGGCAGCTTCAAGTCAGTCTCTCTCCACCTCTGTCCTTATGTTCTTTTGAGAAACTCATCTGACATGTGTCTGCATCCCATAGGTACCGTTTGCCTCTGGATTCCGAGGCACTGGTGGAGGTCTGGCCCGCAGCATGTAGTTCTCCAGAGTGTCAGGACTACAGTTCCCATCTCTCAAACTATACTCTAGACCTGCAGCTGTTTGGCTGTCCATGATGCACCACAAACTCTGCATAGCTGACTTGTTTATCACTGAGTTTATTGTGACAATGAAATTGTGAAATAATTGAATGCATATTAAATTCTCAGCTCATTATTATTAAATATATTTCATGTTCCATTAAAAACTGCCTTATAATATAAAATAATTTTCACATACAATTTTTACCTAATACTTGAAATTATTGTTGAGGCTATTTTAATGTAATTCCAGCAGGTTTTTTTTTTTTTTTTTTTTTTTTTTAATTTCATTTTTCTAAAAGTCAGCTTTTATTTTATAAGGACGATTTTTTTCCCATGGCCTATTTATTTCATAATGTCACTTTACAACTGAATGACTGTGGGCCAATGAGCATCCCCGGGCTGGACTTGGCTGTACCTAGGCTGAGCCTTACATACAGGGGTTGGACAATGAAACTGAAACACCTGTCATTTTAGTGTGGGAGGTTTCATGGCTAAATTGGACCAGCCTGGTAGCCAGTCTTCATTGATTGCACATTGCACCAGTAAGAGCAGAGTGTGAAGGTTCAATTAGCAGGGTAAGAGCACAGTTTTGCTCAAAATATTGAAATGCACACAACATTATGGGCGACATACCAGAGTTCAAAAGAGGACAAATTGTTGGTGCACGTCTTGCTGGCGCATCTGTGACCAAGACAGCAAGTCTTTGTGATGTATCAAGAGCCACGGTATCCAGGGTAATGTCAGCATACCACCAAGAAGGACTAACCACATCCAACAGGATTAACTGTAGATGCAAGAGGAAGCTGTCTGAAAGGGATGTTCGGGTGCTAACCCGGATTGTATCCAAAAAACATAAAACTACGGCTGCCCAAATCACGGCAGAATTAAATGTGCACCTCAACTCTCCTGTTTCCACCAGAACTGTCCGTCGGGAGTTCCACAGGGTCAATATACACGGCCGGGCTGCTATAGCCAAACCTTTGGTCACTCATGCCAATGCCAAACGTTGGTTTCAATGGTGCAAGGAGCGCAAATCTTGGGCTGTGGACAATGTGAAACATGTATTGTTCTCTGATGAGTCCACCTTTACTGTTTTCCCCACATCCGAGAGAGTTACGGTGTGGAGAAGCCCCAAAGAAGCGTACCACCCAGACTGTTGCATGCCCAGAGGGCAACTGGTGATGAGTTTGAGTTTGATGTATGAGGAAGTTGGGTGAACCCATGGAGGTCAAACTGTTGACATGTCAGGTCATGCCATACAATGTATCACATTAATTGCTTGGATCTGGTTAGTCTGTGTCTCAGTCAGTGCTTTATTCTCATGCACTGTTGGATGGTCTTTAAGTTTTGGAAAGAAGTAAATGAATAACTGCTGATTCTTACTATTCTCCAGCTAAAAACCTCATGAATTCATGGAGGTGGCATCCGGTTAATCTGTCAGGACGTCTGGCGTCCAGAGGTGTCTTTTTATACTACAGAAGTTGGATTATAATAGATTATCCTCCATGTCAAAGTGCAAACAGCTCCTTTTGGCCAACTATTTGCATGCTCAGGCCAGATTCTGTCTGAAAAGACAGGGACACTGAAACTGCTGATCAAGCGGTCTGTGGTTCAACTCCAGATTCCTCCTGATGTTTTTAAAGAACTTTGTTGATCTGAAGTGGAGGGGGTTGTCATATGACACTGAAAATCCTGAAGAGCTCCATTCAGGTTCTGTAATTAAAAATTGTTGTTCTGGGTTATGGGGGTATAGATCAGTGGTAGCGCATTTGAACGCAGATCAAGAGGGCTCTGGTTCAACTCCAGGTGCCCCCTGACATTTTGAAAGCCCTTTGTTGATGTGAAGTAGAGGGGATTGTCAGTTATCATTCAAAACAGCTCCATGTAGTCAAGTCCTGGATACTTAGGCCACTTTCTATTTAAAAACACACGGATGTTGGACAAAATGAGGGTCAAATTTAGTGGTAAAGCATTAGACTGCAGATCAAGAAGTATCTGGTTCAACTCCGGATGACCACTGATGTTTTTAAAGAACTTTGCTGATCTAAAGTGGAGGGGATTGTCAGTTGACACTCAAATCCCCAAACCACTTCATTTAGTCAAGTCTTGGACATTTAGGCCAGTTTATATGTGAAAAGACAGATATGTTCTACAATATGAAGATAAAATGTGATGGTAGAACTCACCCATCAGTCTTTAGTGACTATAAACCTGTTGCCCTCACATCCCACACCATGAAGGTCCTAGAGAGACTCATGTTGGCCCACCTCAGTATAAACTCATTTACTTTATAAACAAACTATCAAGAACCCCTTTTGTTTGCTTATCGTCCTGGAGTTGAAATTGAACATGCCATCATTCAAAGGCTTCATCAAACCCACTGTCATCTGGACAAAGCCAGCAGCACTGTGAGGATCATGTTCTTTGATTTATTCACTGCATTGACCACGATTCAGCCTGATTTGTTTTGTCAGAGACTCCAGGAGACTCAGGTGGAGGCCTCAACAATCACCTGGATTAAAGACTACCTGACAAACAGACCACAGTTTGTGGGTGGAAGGCTCTCATGTCTAACCAGGTAGTCAGCAGCACAGGAGCACCACAGGGGACTGTACTCTCACTCTTCTTTTTTACTCTGTACACCTCAGACTTTTATTAAGAAACTGACAAGAAGCTGAGCACAAAGAGCTGGTGGACCCCTTTTTGGCATGGTGTGGAAACAAATATCACAATTGTGAACAAAACAAAGGAGCGGATTGTCAATTTTAGGAGGTACAGGAAAAGATCCAACACTATTTTCATAATGAGAGAAGAGGAGGTGGTGGAGGAGTAAGACAGACTGTTACAGGAGATCCTTCCTGCCCACAGCCATCAGCATCTACAACAGCTCTCCGAAGAAACCTGCCGAATATGAGCAGCCACAACATTTAATTTACCTTTGGGATTAATTTAGTATTTTTGGATTAAACTGAATTATTATATTATTTTAATCAAATTATAATTTTCTCAAAAACAATTTGAGATTTTTTAAATACCTTTAACTAAGTTACATTTAAGGATGTTTGACTCCCAAAATTCTGTATTAAGTAATGTAGAGACTCAAATGTGTGACACACATTTCACTAAATGGTCAACATCTGCATATTTGCAGCTGGGATTTACATGATTTTTAGATGGGGTAAAATAATTTCCATATACTGACACGTGTGGTAACTAAACAGGAGTGATGGATCAGTTTTTGAAAGAAATATAGGTAAATAATTTATGAAGCACCTTTCACAGATCAAAAACAAAAAGTGCTAAACAAAGACAGCAAAAACCTGAAATGTCTTAACTAAAAGCAAGTTTGAAAAAAATGTTTTCAGTTGCATTTTGGATCAGTTCAGATTCTGAGGACAAGACTCTGTAGTCTAGATAACAGCAAAGAAAAGCATGAAAAACCATCACAATGTTCAGTTTCAGCACCTGTCTTCTTTTTTAAACTAGTTTGTAATTATTTTATGCACTTTAATAATTCAGAACGTCTAAAGACCTCAGAATGTTTGAAGAAACAGTATTGATGAATTCATCTGCATTAAAATCAAAAGAGATATTCATCCATCCATTGTCTATACTGTTGGGACCACAGCCATGGGTACAACATAAATGGCCAGTATGAACTTTTCTGGAACTTTCAAAATAAATTGCATAACCTACTTCCAGCACAGCCAGGAAAAGGGGTAACAGCGGACTTCCCGTGACGTCACTGTCCGAATAAAAACCCCGCTTTTGCAACAAACTGACCTCTTCCATACAGGTCCCCAGCAGAACAGGACGGAGGGACGCAGCGCGCTAATGTCTCCAAGAGTGTCATACGATCACGCGATCATATGCACTAAGTTAAGTAGGAATGAATTGCTGTTTGTGTTGGTATTCATTCATCAACGGGGTGATTAACGTACAAGCGTTGCTTGATTTTTCTCTCTGAGGTCTACAGAAGCAAACTGTGTTCCAGAGTTCCCAGCAGAGACCCTGTCTCTACGACGCTGAGTGGAGCAGTTTTCCCGGTCTGAAGGAAGGACAACGGGACCGCATCACCGTGGTTACAGCAGTAACGTGCAGTTTGGCTGGCCGACGGCGCGAGCCGCCCCACCCCACAGCTACAGAGGTTAGCTGCAACTAACCCTTTGTTCACTGTGGATGCTTTCTTCAAACTTCGTCGCCCGGACACCTTTTCCTCAGCACGGTTCACATAAGAGGTTGTGTTTGGGCAGAGAGAAGTAATTTAGAATGAAATAATCTAAACATTTTTCGTTTTATAACGTTTGGTTTTTTTTGGTTGAAACTCAGCTATCTTAGTGCTAGCAGATTATCTGTCAGCACATGTGCTTAGTTTATGTGTTCTGTGTTTTTTTTTTTTTAAGTTGAGACCAACGTTATTTAAAGGGTGATTTTAAACACAGAAGATCGGCCATAACGCGCCGTCCACGATTATGCATTTTAACCCTTTTATTAATGGTATTTTAAAGGTATGTGTTTGATTCTGATGATAAGCTATAAGCTTCTTTTGCTCCAACCGCTAACAGCTAAGAACACGTGCTTGCTGCTAAAGATCATTTACCCAAAAAGTTTGTTAGTTTTCAATCTAGAAAATAATATTTCCTTAAATATTATTTTACTAAACTCAAAAACTCAGTAAACACTATTAAGCCCCATTTCTCCAGAAAGATTTGGTTCTTATTCAAAATAATATTTCCTTAATAGTATTTCCTTACATATTATTTTACTATTTCCTTAATAGTATTTCCCTAAATATTATTTTACTAAACTTGATAGAAATGTTACACAATTAAGCCCATTTCTCAAAGATTTGGTTCCTATTCAAAATAATATTTAAGGAAATATTATTTTAATAAATAAAGGTAGCTAATTAAACACTGTTGAGAACTGGTCATCCAGAAGGTTGGTTTTATTCAGCAAATCATTCTTTAAAATATTATTTTATTAAAATAATATTTGATCTGATCTTGCATTGTGAATGGTTGTCTAAAGGTATACCAATTATTGCCTAAGTTAGTTCCAAGACTAACTTAACTTCACTTCCAGATTCTTCAAGATAATCCTTGGTTCTCAGACATAAATAACATTCAGTTCAGTTCAGTTCAATTCAGTTTATTTATATAGCGCCAATTCACAACACATGTCGTCTCAAGGCACTTCACAAAAGTCAGGTTCATACATTCCAATTAGTCCTAACCATTGAACAGTACAGCCAGATTCTGTTATTTATTCAAATTGGATAAAAAAGTTTTTCTATCTAAGGAAACCCAGCAGATTGCATCCAGTCAGTGACTTGCAGCATTCACTCCTCCTGGATGAGCATGTAGAGACAGTGGACAGTCACTGGCGTTGACTTTGCAACAATCCCTCATACTGAGCATGCATGTAGCGACAGTGGAGAGGAAAAACTCCCTTTTAAACAGGAAGAAACCTCCAGCAGAACCAGAACCAGGCTCAGTGTGAGCGGCCATCTGCCACGACCGACTGGGGGTTAGAGAGAACAGAGCAGAGACACAAAGAGAACAAAGAAGCACTGATCCAGGAGTACTTTCTATGGGAAGGAAAAGTAAATGTTAATGGATGTAGCTCCTTTAGTCGTTTCACCTAGAAAGAAAGAACAGATAAACTCTGAGCCAGTTTTCAAGGTTAGAGTCTGAAGAGAGCACATAGAGTTAGTTACAGTAAAAGCTCAGTCAGTAGCCATGTCTAGGAGAGAGAAAGGGTTAAACACTGAAAGACAGGGCCATGTGGATCATCGGTAGAGGGTGAGCATTAAGTTGTTGCCAGCAGAAGCTTGGAGGATTCCCCTCTCCAGAAAGGTGTACATAGCCCATTAGTCTTCCTTATTCTTTAATTCTGCTTGGTAGTTTGGTTGGATTGTTTTAGCATAGTAAAGAGTTTAATTGAAATATGTTTGACTTTGAGTTGACTTATTTTTGTTAATAAATTCTTGTATTTTAAGAAATTGTGTGAATTCATTCCATGTGTGTGCAGAGTTTATGCTGTTCAATAATGTCAGAGCTTGGCTCACACCTTTCAACTTTGTCCTAATACAATTGCCTTATATGGCTGGTATTCACAGGACAACCCTTAAAAGACCGAAATATTATTTAATAAAATATTAAAGTATTAATATTAAATAATATATGCATATTCATAATTACAACAATACCCACTTATCTTTGCAGTCCATCACAGGGACACCCAGAGACACACAGGACAAAGATTCATGCACACACATTCATATCAAAGGGTAATTTAGAGAGACTACTTATAAAGGAGATATTCAGAAATGCATTAATGATCTGTCCAGGTTAGGGATGGGTCCCGAATTCGGTATTCTTATAGCTACCGACCGAATTCCGTTGGTACTACCGAGCACCGATTCACCTAAAATCAAACGGTACCATGTTTCGGTACCTGAACGCATCATTGTGACACTGAGGGAGTCGAAGAGTGGCCGATTTTCCATGCCAGAGATGAACACAGCATTGCACGCAGAAGAGCGTAATGACGTCAGTAGCCGCTGGTACCGTCAACAAAGCAGATTACACTCGCTGCAATATTTGTGACGCGAAGTGCACGGCAAGTGGTGGGAATACATCTAACCTGAGGAGGCTTCAGATGTTCCTGAAGGCTGAAGAGACACAGTTTTCATCAGCCTCAGATCCACGGCTACAGTAGGGTGACCAGACGTCCCCGAGTTCCAGGGACATGTCGTCCTAAACGGGGAATGTCCCCGGAAATGTCCCCGATTTCAGCCTTTGATGAATGAG